GGAGTCTAAAGAGGATATCCATAGATACTTTATGAGAGCTCGATACATGACAACACCAGAAGCAGCTGTCTATGCCATTCACCTCAAAAATCCGGAAGAGTGCAGCCACTACACCAACAGAATCAGCAAAGAAAAGCTCGATGAATTTAATGATGTGGTTCGAAATTTACCTGAAGGAATCACGTTTGCCAAAGCTTGCAAGGACTTCATGATAGGCCACTACTTCTGTGAGAGCAAAGAATCAATCCCTGAGATAGAGGACTTGTTCAATCATGCCAGAAAAGGTAAACCTGTTCGAACACTTCATAAAATAGAAGGTGTAGGTCAGTTTCTTATCTCTTGTTCTATTAGAGGAGAAATGTTTAAAAACGTGCTATGTGATTCTGGAGCTTGTCTTAACATGATGTCCAAGGCAATTGCTTTGAGACTTGGTATTAGACACCTGCGCATGACTAGAGCAAAGATTAGCCTAGCTGATGATTCAAATGCAACACCTCAAGGAATAGCTCATGAAATCCCTTTGAGAATAGGAGATTGCATAGTGCCTGTCGACTTCTACATTGTCAAAACGAGAGATGCAACATATCCAGTGATTCTGGGATGGTCTTTTCTAGCAACTTCCGGAGCTATAATGGACTGGCCAAACCGGAGGATTTCATTTGCTAATATCGACAAAGATGTCTTCACAGAAGCTGTCCCATACAACAGCAAAGCTGGAAAACGTTCTGCAGCAGAAGAGTTTGAAGAAGAACTTTGGAGTGACGAAGAACCTGCTAAGCAAAGCAAGGAGATGTCGAAAAAGATTTGTCTCAGGACAAGGTCTTCTTCATTGGAATAAGTCACGTCCAACACCAAAAGTCGAGCTAAATGACTTAAAACAAAAGCGCTTAATGGAGGCAACCCATTTAGGTATTGTTTTCTTTAGGATTTTTCTTTCTTTTTCTTTTGATCTTTTTCTTTTTCTTAGTTTTCAGGTGTTTCTTATAAAACAAAAAAGCAAAAAAAAATAAAAAAAACCCGAAAAGACCAAAAAGAAGGATGGTACTTGACTGCTCGGCCCAGCAGGAACCAAAGAGAAGCAGGAAGAGGCCGCGATATAAGCCCCCGCGGTCGCAGGTGTTCGGACCGCGGGAAACAACCCTTCGGCCGCGGTTGCGTAGTTCTAACCGCGGCCAAGCACTTGGTTGCCGCGGTCGTGCAGCCCCTGACCGCGGCACTTGGTCGTTGAGATCCAAACCCGACCCAAACCACCCCTTTCACCTCATTTCACCTCACCAATCACCCTCCACCTCATTCATCACTTTCCACCACCTTCATCACCACCTAATCACTTTCCCAAACCCCTTCGAATGAATCCGGTTCATCTCCACCAGCATCCCGGATCCAGGTAAGTTCTCTTTGTCCTTACCAATTCGATTATCTATGCATTTTTCTCATCCAATCTCGACTTGTTTCACACTGAGGACAGTGTGATTTAAGTCTGGGGGAGGATTTCATCCCTTTCTAACCACTTTTCTTTCATGAGTCTTGCATTATCTACACTTTTTGCATTTTACTTAAAGTTTTTCAAAACCGGTTTTCAAAACAAAATACGTTTTAAAGGGAATGGTGAACATGAATCAATGATAGTTGACTGTGTGCTTTAGACTGTTCCTAGTGACTTGCTCATTCATGATTTAGTACTAGACTAGGCGGTAGCTAAGCACATTTGAAACGAAGTACCCCAGAGGAATTTGAATGATTTCGATTTAGATGAAGGGATACACTAGCTCTGTTTTATCTGGACTTAATTTGGACTTAATTTTCTCATTGAAGCATTAGACCAGGGAAACAAATCATACATTCAAGACTTCTTTATCCTTTTACCACTCTTTGTTGATCCTGAATGGCTAGTTCATCTTTAGCTAGTTTCCCACCTTAACCAGTCCTCTTTCAAACCACATGCACTCTTGTTTTCTATTGTCTTATATGCAGATAAGTGCAAAAACGTTGGAGAGAAAGAGGAACGACACAGTTTTCAGTCACCAAGGACAGAGACCTGCGATTTGCCAAAAAAGTTCCCGGAAGGATTCAACACAAGAGGAAGCTCAGTTTGCCTTAGAAAAATCTCAAATTTTGGTACAATCTCGTCCTCTAGTCTCTCTCTCTTTAAAAGGCATTTCCTTTCCAAAAAAAAAAAAAAAATCCGAAAATAATAAAAGAAAGGAAATAAAAGCCTTAGAGAGTCTAGAGAGGTCGAATTTTAAGTCCCAAGGCAACTGGAGTTCAATTTTATGGATTTTTTGAGATTGTTTTCTGATTCCCGGAAAGAATCTAAGTCTGGGGGAACAGCTGTTTACAACAAAGAAGGAAGGATATGCAACAACATTTGGCAAGAAGAAGTAACTGAAAACTGTGGTCATCAACAGGTCCTTATCTCTCTTGCGGTTTTGCATATTATCTTGCATCCTCCAGATCTTCAGGTAACCCGAAACACTTTAACTCCACCACTAAAATAGCCCTTTAATGCCAAACGCCGTCTACCCTGGATGATGTCTTTAATGAGAACTCACTATTGAACTTAATGAATGTAGAGAGCTAGTTGACTGAAATCAAGATTTATATTGTTTAAGTTTTGCATGACGGAAAAAGTGGACTAGTATCTCTTGTGCTTTGGTGAGAATTTTCTAGACTAAGTTGTGGATTAATGCACTATCTTTGGTCGTAGTTTAGAGTTCATGCCTATGATATTTGTGCATTTCCTACTTTTGTTTTCACTTAACTAGTTTAGGCTTTTGCTTTGTTTGAGGACAAACAAAGGTTTAAGTCTGGGGGAGTTGATAACACCGTATTTTGACCACTTTTATGGATCGTTTTGAAATACTTTTTATATGTTTTTAATTGCTTTTAAGTACTTTTATTACGTTTTTCTAGTATTTGTAGTTCCAAGACTCTTTTCAGGAAACTTTAGGAAAAGCTTAACAAAATGGACAGAAAACCAGATTTCAGCTCAGAGTCAAACCGTTAGAAGTTTACCCCTGATTGAAGGTTTTCTCACCGTCTGATCCAGCTCAAATTTGGAGACCTTAAAGATGGAAGTATCAGCTTTCCAGTGCACTTTACAGCTTGGCAATCCAACGGTTCAATCAAAAGATACGCGAAGAGCAAGATGTCCCGTAAACCAGCTGGCCAGCACTTCCACCCGCGGCCAACAAGCATTTTCCCGCGGTCAGGAGCATCCCGACCGCAGCAAACCATCCATTCCCCGCGGTCAGAGCACTCCCGACCGCGGCCTTCAACCTCCGAGCCCAAAAGCCTATTTCTGAAGCCCACATTTGGAGAAACCCTAAGTGACGTCCAGAGAGGTCTTGAGCACTATAAATACATGTCTTAGGAACTCTAAACGATATCATACAACTTCATATCATCTATTTTACTTCATATTTTTATTGTTTTTGTTTTAGCTTTTAGGGAGAGAGAGATTTGTTCTTTTGAACCCTTTTTCTTTCTTTTTCAATTTTGGTTTCTATTCTACTTCTTAATACTATGTCTTTGATTTCGTTCATCATGTCTGAGTAGTTTTATTGTTGGGATTAAGGGATTTTCGATGGGGATTTATATGTTCGATGAGGATTCCATGAGCTTTTGAGCCGAATCTTAGAACTTTTTCTTCTGAATTCGTTTTTACTGCATGAGAGTAGCGTCATGAACTACAATCTGATCCAGATGCTTGGTGACACGAAAGTGTTCATCAGGTATCAGATCTAGTTTGGGAGAGCAAAACAAACATAAGAGTAGAAGCCTACCTATGGGCGATTTGTGAATTAGGACGAGTCTTAAACATAATGCATCTCTTCTCTTCCAGGGCCAGAGTGGAAACCTACTGGTCAGGGTTGAGAGAGATAGTTGTCTATGATCACGACAGTGGCGTATTTATACGTCCGTGACTCCAGTTCGAAAAGTTGAAGCTAAGATCTTACAAAATTTCCTCTCTAGCAATGTTTTGAATCGTTCGTACCCCTGGGAAAACTTCCCTGAACCCCAACGCTTTCTTCTCCATTGATTTACACCGATTTTCTTTAAGCTTTAGTTCAATATTGTCTTTCCTTTTTAGTTCATTTTCATTTAAGCATTAGAATATCCGCTTTTATCATTTTTAGTCATTTTCATTAAGTTTAGTTATTACGTCATTTAATTCCCGTATTCTCTTTTAATATTTCGTTTTTAGATTTTAAACACACTACCAAACCCCCACTAAACCATTTTTGTTCTAGACTTCCTTACTTTAACTTATTTCAAAGGCTTTTTGCAGCAAAAGATCCTCCTTCCCTGTGGATTCGATCCCTAAGTACTACAATTGATCAGCTGTGCACTTGCGGCTATTGATTTCAATTAGGGTAAAAGTTGACACCCTCGACACACACACATCATCCTAATTGTCCCACGACCAATAATCTTTAATATTGTTTGGTTGTACCAGTTGTCCTAATTGTCCCACGACCAATAATCTTGAATATTGTTTAGTTGTACCAGTTGTCCTAATTGTCCCACGACCAATAAACTTTAATATTGTTTAGCTGTACCAGTTGTCCCTAAACCACTACCAGCAAGTCAAACATAGTTGTACCCTATTGTCCCATAACCAAACTCATCAAATACTAACCTTTGCACTTGTTCCAATTGATGCGTTTATATCATCCAATGGAATGCCTTTCATGCATACATCGGTGAACTTGTGCTTGCACATCCTCAGACAGTCTTTCTGCGCAGGTACGGCTTCTCGAAATTTGTGGCCAAGGCTAGGAATACACTCAAAAGCAAGTATCTACACAAAAAGTCAAAAAATTAAACCGTAAATTATGTAAATAAATTAACTTCTATAAACTATTGACTGAGAATTACCTGTAGAGGAAGAATGAAACCAGACAAGGGACATTCTGATTTTTTGTCTTTCATGCTGCCATTAAATTTTGCCACCACACGCCGGATCTCCTTCATCATGTCATCGAATGTGTAATGCCTCAAGGGATTGATTTACACACATTCAAATCACTGACAACGCTGAGCAAGAACGTATCAATGGTACCATCAGTCTTGTATTTCGCCTTCACTACCTTGCATAAAAACCAGAGGAGGGCCATTTTCTTCCTGTCCACAGAGGTATCCTTCATTTCATTTAATTTTTCTTCCACATCCCCAATCTTGATTTTATCCGCCCTACCAAAGTGCTTCTCAACAAACTTTGTGTTTCCCAAATTGTTGTAGTCAACCGGGTAATCACGACAGTCAAGTTCACTCAAAAGCGCATGCTCTCCCAGAGAATACCTTATCGGAACTCCGTTAACAACAAACCAGCACTCACTAAGCCTATCAGTATGAGCAGTCTGAAGGAGAAGCATCCAAAATCCTTGATTCATGTGGTTGGGCTCCTTGAACATGTGAAAAATGTGCTTAAATTGAGGATGCACTCTGAACCATGCTTTCTCCTCATTAAGCTTATCAATCTTGTCCACAACAGCTCTAACTGAGCACCTTGTCAATATCCTACAACCCTGGCTGTACTCGGTTGGACCGAAGTAAAGCTTCTCAGGCACCATCGGTTGACTACCATCATCGGCATTCTGAGATAAAAGCAAGAAACACAATCATATCAGATTTAGTTGTCCCAATTATCCCAGTTGTCCAACGACTAAACATAATTTCATCAAACACAGTAATCCTAGTTGTCCCAGTTGTCCCAGTTGTCCAAATGCCAAACATCATATAGTGCAAATAGTTATCCTAGTTGTCCTAGTTGTCCAACGAACAAATATAATTTCATCAGACACAATTATCCCAGTTGTCCCAGTTGTCCAAATGCCAAACGTAATTTCATGAGACACAGTAATCCTAGTTGTCCCAGTTGTCCAAATGCTAAACATAATATAGTGCAAATATTTATCATAGTTGTCCTAGTTGTCCAACGAACAAACATAATTTCATCAGACACAGCTATCCCAGTTGTCCTAGTTGTCCAAATGCCAAACGTAATTTCATCAAACACAGTAATCCTAGTTATCCCAGTTGTCCAAATGCCAAACATAATTTTGTGCAAATAGTTATCCTAGTTGTCCTAGTTGTCCAACGACCAAACATAATTTCGTTTAGAGTATACTTACCTCTAAATCTTCATCTGCCTCTTCGACATCCTCTTCTTCCGCTGCATTTTCTTCCTCTTTATTTCCTTCCTCTCCTTCTCCCTCGTTGTCTTTCTCGGGTGTCCCCCTCCCTCTTCGCCTGCTTCTTTCTCAGATTCCTCTTCTCCACTATCTTTCTTGGATTGCTCATCCTCGACTTCCTCTTCTCCTGTTTCCTTCTCGGATTCCTCTTCCTCGGCTTCTTTCTCTGATTTCTCTTCCTCGCCTTCTCTTTCTGAAGCCTCATCCTCAGATACATCTCCCTCGCCTTCTTTCTGGGATTCTACCACACCCTCTTCCTCGGCTACTGTATCCGCTAAACCCTCTTTCTCAGGTTCTTCACGAAATTCCAACCGCTCCTCTGGTTGATCCGTCGTACCCTCGTCCGTGGGTGTTGGTGCGGTTTCAGGGGCTTCTTTGGTGGTTTCGGTACCGGCTGGGTCTGCTTCCATCAATGATTCTTCTTCTCTCCGACTTTCTTCATGGGTTGTTTCTTCATCATTTGCTAGAGGTTTGGTGTTATTCCGGGGTCTTTATCTTCCATATGTGCTTCTTCACTGCGCTTGGGTACAGAATCGTTCGAATCATATACCACGCCCTTTAGTCGAATTTTAGCCATGGAATTAGGGTGGATTTAGGGTTTGTCTTGATGTATGTAGAAGACTAAATTAATCAATAATTAGTACGGGAAGTTGAAGAAGGGGAAGTTGAAGAAGGAGAAGTTACAAAATCTAGTGTCGTTTCAAGGGGGAAGTTGCAGAATTTTTGGAAGAGAGAGGGAAGTGGAGATAGCCGTTCGGGGAAGATGAAGAGAGAAAGAGGATAAATCGATATTTGATTTTCGGTTTTAAGTTTATCACATGTGTTTGGTTTTGAGAATCAAATCCACTCGATTCAGTTTCGTTTACCCAATTTTCGGTTTAAGAATTACAAATTTCTATTTTCGATTTCAAATCCATATAGTTTTTTTTTTTTTGGAAAGAAATTGCATTTTTTTGGGTAATCGGGTGGATTTAAAACGGGTGGGTTTCCCTGGTATTTTCGTGATTATAGAGACATATAAGAGGAAGAGTATAATTTCCAAGGTTTAAGTTAATAAAATTAATTAAAAAAAAATTAATTTTTACACACATGGCTTTTCAGCCAACTTTTTCGCGTCCGATAACTTTTAAATCGCGCACTCAACCAAGCTATGAGTATTTCTCGTTTTTCGCGTTTTATATTTGATAAAAAAAATAATAAATAGTAATACTCCGGACACATAAACACAGTAAAAGGTAAAATTTAGTTACTGTATTACCTTTTTTCATATCTGAAGCGAAAAGAAACGAAGACGAAAATAGATCTAGAGCTATCTCGGCTTTAAGATTTACATGTATCCTATTGAAATATGTGAATCTTGTTTTTTCTGATGGTGATGTATTGGCCTTATTGGCCGTATCCAACATACCTCTACATTTTCGGGTAATTCCCTTCTAAGTCCATTTCCTTCATAGCTATGTTACTTTAGGATGTATAAATATTCAGCTTTTGGCCCAAACCCAAAGTTAACACTTAACACCAAACACCAATTTTTTCTTCAGCTCTCTTTGGTGATATGACAGATTGACAGTAGTATAGATTACTTCGTAAATCGCTTTTCGACTTTATAGCTCTCTATCTTGAATTTTTGACCTCATGATTGATCCCAAAACTACCAAAATTGTAACTAACCCATCGATACTTTTTTTTTTTGTTGTTGGATCGAAACTGAACGAAAAAGATTACCACGTATTTCTGTCTTCCAACGATAATTCAATATTTAAAATGCACAATTTTCCATACTTTGTGAGAGACAAGTATATGATGGGCTTTAACCATAAATTATAATCTCACATTTGTAAATGGCGGACCTAGGGGGCCCATTGACAACCGATTTTGAAGACTTGTGGAACAATAATGCACTGATTGCATTTTAGATCAACCACTGATTCGAGCATTCGGTCGACATATGAATTGTGGTTAACACTGAAACCGCTTTACAGTACAGAATGTACATTGAATTCTATGTGTTATTATAGACTGATCCCCATTGTTAGAGGTGGACTGCACACCCTTCTTAAAACCCTTTCTAAATCTAGATAGGCTGAATAGCCAAGAGAACCAAGCGCAGTTTGGCCCATCAAACGAGTGAATGCTCATTAATAAGTTTGGCCGTATGACCTAGATACAAGGTCAGGTAGCATGTCACCGAAGCTATGATGAAAAGGTCAATTAATCCATTCTGCACGATTGTATTGTTGAATAAGCATCGACATAAACCAAAACCCAAACACTTAGCAAGTCAGTTAAGTAGTTAGTTAGGATTTTGGAAATATTCCTTATTAGATTAGAATAGATCTAGTTCTAATAGAAAAAGAAAAAGTGCCTGAGCAAAGTTGTGCAAAACACTATATATATGTAAGTCATTGATGAAGTTGCATCAATGAGAGATACATCTTTGGTATTTAGTTTTGAAAGATTTTCTAAAAATAATAAGAGAGTTATTCTTATAAACAGATTTGTATTCTTGATTTAAATACTTGAATTGGTATCAGAGCCTTTAGGAGAAGCTTGTGACCTAGGGTATCGATCACGAAAATCATTCGATACCTAACCATGGGAGACATCGTCCCAAACCCTAATCCGAAGGAAAGTATTCCTTCTTCTATCAGGTGCCCTATGCTAACCTCGACGAATTACACGATATATGCTATGAGGATTAGAGTTCTTATGCGAATCCATAAGGTGTGGGAAACAATCGAACCTGGTTCGACTGATCCCAACAAGAATGATATCGCAACAAGACTTATCTTTCGATCTGTCCTGGAAGTTTTTATTCTGCAAGTCGGCGAACAAGACTCTCCAAAAGGGATATGGGGCGCGATCAAAGCACGGCATCTAGGAGCTAATCCTGTCAAGGAAGCAAGGCTTCAAACCTTAATGTCCGAGTTTGAGAGAATCAAGATGAACGAGTCAGACAAGATAGATGACTTTGCGGGGAAGTTATCTGAACTAGCTTCAAAATCGGTTTCTCTAGAGCAAACAATCGAAGAACCGAAACTTGTGAAGAATTTTCTTAACAGTTTGCCAAGGAGTAAGTTCATTCATATCATCGCCTCTCTCGAGCAAGTGTTGGATCTGAAGACGACGAGTTATGAAGATATAGTAGGAAGACTTAAGGCGTATGAAGAAAGGATTCTTGAGGAGGAGAATCACACAGACACCCAAGGTAAGCTACTATACGCTAACTCAGATCAACAAAGTTTTCCAAGATCGAGAGGGAGAGGACGTGGTAGAGGAGGCAGAGGAAACAGAGGACAAGGCAGAGGAGGAGGGTCTAACTCACAAGAACGATCAACAAATAAGAACCAATCAAAGGAGAAGAAGGATCAGTCAAAGGTGATTTGTTATCGATGTGATAAATCTGGACACTTTGCATCTGTCTGTCTTGGATGACAGTAAAAGACACAGGAGGCAAATAAAGTGGAGATAGAAGAAGCTGAAGAAGCACTTTATATGCATGAGATGGTGTTTTTGAATGAAGAAAATCTAATACCAAAGAAATATGAAGGAGAAGAAGGACTTTGGTATCTAGATAATGGAGCAAGTAATCACATGACCGGAAACAAAGCACTCTTCTCTGAGCTCAACAAAAACATAAGGGGCAAAGTGAAGTTTGGAGATGGATCTTGCGTGGGAATAGCTGGAAAAGGATCGATTCTATTTCAAAGTAAAACAGATGAGCAGAAACTCATGTCAGATATCTACTATATACCCGAGCTCAAGAGCAACATTCTGAGTCTAGGACAAGCCACCGAAGCCGGCTGTGATGTCAGAGTGAGACATGATTACTTGACTCTCCATGATCCGAGTGGAAGACTGTTGGTGAAGGTCATATGTTCACCCAATAGGCTTTACAAAATCAACCTGAAGATTGGAAAACCGATATGCCTAAACACGAGTATAGAGGATGAGACTTGGAGATGGCATGCAAGGTTGGGGCATATCAGCTTTAGAACAATGAAAGCTATGTCACAACAAGAGAGGGTTTACGGTCTACCAAAAATTCGAGAAGAAAAAGGACTGTGTGAGTCGTGTTTAGTAGGAAAACAGACTCGACAAAGCTTTCCAAAAGCATCAATGTTCCGAGCTTCAAGACCACTGGAACTTCTTCACGCAGACATGTGTGGTCCGATTTCACCACCAAACATCGCTGGTAACAAATACATATTTGTTATCATAAATGATTTTACAAGATACATGTGGTTAATCTTGTTAAAAGAGAAAATGAGGCGTTTGGGAGGTTCAAGGTGTTCAAGGAGCTAGTTGAAAAGGAGTTTGGAAGAGCAATATTGACTCTTAGAACCGACAGAGGAGGAGAGTTTACCTCAAGGGAGTTT